CCCCCCCCCCCCCCCCATTCAAATAGGTCTAGCGACACCCCTGCGTGAGGTCAATCAAAAAGCAGAAGATGGTCTTGAAATGGGGCGGGCCCGCCGGCGGGGGGAGGCTTGATCCCATTTCCCGGCCCACATTTTCTTTATATTTCATTTCCAAGTCCTTTTTTTAGACCTGCAAATCCCAGTGTGATTTATTTGCATCTCCTTGCCCAGATTTGAAATTAAGTCCCGTTTACACTACGCTTAATTTTTGGTACCGTACCACTTTTTTGGTTCTTGGACTACCTAAATAGGTAGTCCAAGAACCAAAAAAGAGGTACGGGTACCAATTTTATCCGTGCCGTACCAAAAATTGAGCGTTGTGTAAACGGGGCTTTAGTCTATAATGGGGACTGTCTATGCCCTCTTTAAAAGTTTCGGCTGTGAAAAGGGTATATAACTGACTCACAATAGCAGAAAAATGACCTCATTGAGCCATAAGTCGGTTAAATTCGGTTTCCCTGGACTTTTTTAGACAAATTCTTTATGAAAAATTATAACCTGAAATGCTGAATTTAACATATTTTCTGATACATCTACCCAAATAATCTTGATTTTTCCTAGAATTTGTCCGAATTTTTGTTGTTTTTTGTTGTGGGGGGGGGGGGTTGGGGTTTGGGGGGGGGCAGTTATCCCCCTGCCACCCTGTCTCGTACGCCAATGAATTATGAAAATAACCGCTTACGGCTTCAGTCCTACGCCATTATGATTCACAGCGAAATTCACAGTGAATTGTCACACATATACCGGACTGAAGACATTAACTATAGAGTCTAGTGAGATTTGCAAAAGTGTGACCTCAGTCGGTAAAAGCAAATCCTTATTTTAATGCCTGGTACATTGTATTCAATAGACAATAATATCAATATCAATATTGAATGCTGACAAGAGGGATGCGTTGATTCCCACATTCCATGCATGTGTCGAAAATTTTACGGTTGTCGCGGTTTATATCTCGGCGAGGTACGCTGGTTCCAGAGGCTCTTTTGTCGCCTCGCAATGAGCCTCTGGAATCAGGCTATCGGCAAGGTGGATTACTGCAAAAATCCACGTATATAGAACTGAAAATCTTCAAAATTAAAACAAATCCCAAAATTCTGCCAACAAAACATGTTTGTAAAATTCCTACAATTCTAACTTTCCTGAAGTCTCATTAAATCCTTAGAAATCCCAGAAAGTTACCAAAAATCCCCAGAATCCCTTCCAAATTCCGAAAATGTTGCTGAAAAAATAAAAAAGGAAACAAAAACAATCTTCAAAATCCGTTAAAAATTTCGCAAAAATTCTAAAACAACCTCGTTCCCAGGTCCTTTTGATTCTAAACTGACTCCTTGATATATTGCAGGGAGTTTTAAAATTCCAAATCCCTTGTTCATTTTCTCACATTAATACAACGCCCTACTTTTATACTTTACGACTAATGCAAAAAATAGGTACGCTGTGGCGTACATGGCGTCTACTAGATCAAAAACAAAGAATGCTTTTAAATGAGCATCAGTGTTTTATCAGATATAAAGACACGAGGTGAAGCCGAGTATCTTTAGGTCTGATCAAACACGCAAAGTTCGCCGTCTAAACTGAACCTAAAGCCGGTTTTCCACTAGCGAATGTTTTCGCGCGAAGCGACCTTTTTTCTTTGTCGGCATCTATTTTGCCACGTCTTGCTGACGTAATAAGTGATACCGACAAAGGAAGAAGTCGCTTCGCACGAAAAAATTCGCTAGTGGAAAACCGGCTTAAGAGTGTTATTAAATTGTACTGTTGTCTGAATGATCAAATCATAGGCGTCGATAGATCGATAAGTGGGGGTTGGGGCATATTCATATATACATATGTATATATATATATATATATATATATATATATATATATATATATATATATATATATATATATATATATATATATATATATATATATATATATATATATATATACATATACAGCGAATTCAATAAAGGTTGTCCTTTGCAAACCTTAAACCTTAAACTCTAAGCGCGCAAAGCATAATGGGAGCACTAATTTCAAGCTTAATTGTTGATTATTGAAGCTGTTTGTCAGTGAAATGTTTTTGCAGGGAGATTTTTATCATGTCTCCAAAAAATGGGCTCCATATATGCTTTCTAAACTGCTTAAATTTTGCTCCCATTATGCTTTGCACGCTTAGAGTTTAAGGTTTAAGGTTTTAGAGTTTGAGGTTTCAAAGGACAACCTTTATTGAATTAGCTGTATATATATATATATATATTTATTATATACACAAGGTCTGGATATGAGGTATTCTGCAATCTGATTGGTTCTCTACTAGCAGGATATTAGCTCATATCCTGCTAGTAGAGAAAAACAAAATGGCGGCTAAAATTGAATTTCCAATGTTTTGCAAACGAGAAAACGGCAAGTTGTTCGCTTTTTATAGCCCTTTCAGGATTAAAAACACAATGAAAAAACTCCCACAAATTGTTTACAGGTTAGCAAATGAATTTTTAAAATATAAAATGGTTAAAAATATATATTTTTGAAAAAATAATCGGCCGAAAGAGCGAAGATAAAAACATAAACAAAATAGAAAAATATTGAAAATAACAGAAAAGCAAAGTCTGTAAATTCAGATCTTGTCAGTGTATATAATAAAACAGTTATTCCACTGCACTCTCGTCGAATATGAGCGATAGCCGATTCGGCGCTACGCGCCTCATCGGCTATCAGCTCATATTCGACTCGAGTTCGTAGAATAACTGTTAAATATATATATGTATATATATATATATAGGCGTATATATATATGTATATATATATATATATGTATATATACGCCTATGGATCAAACCGTTTATCGTAAACAGTTCGGAAACTTTTGTAGATGAACCAAAGAGTCTGTACGTGTTCCCAGGAAAAGTGAACGGTCCACTCTATCTAAACCTCTTGTCGGCAACATATGCCGATTGGCGACTATTGTTCCAGTAGACGCAAAAAAAGCATAATTCGTAAAGCTTTTCTTTTCAAATTAAAATATATTGGTCAACATCTCGAAAGCTTTTTGCACTAAGGATAACATTTAATTAATGTGTGAAGTATACGTAATTAAAGAATAAAGTAAGGAATCGTAATTGCATGAATGTTCCATTAAAAAGATACATTAGTCATTACATGTACTTTAAGTTTAACATGCACACCTGCACTATCATGTGGTGTATAAATTGGCGCCTATATGAACCCGGCGTTTTTGTGTCATTTAGTTGTATTCCGTGTTATACCTGGTTTGTCCTTCAAATCGTTGGTTGAACTGTGAAGAGATTTAAAAAAGTAAATCAAACATCTGTGCAATTTATCAATTGTCTGTAAGTTGAATTCATTTATTCAGCCAATACATTTTCTCGAAATCGTTAATCATTATCGGCATTTTTGTTTCTATAATATTCCCCCGCCGTTCTTTGTGGACTTGTGGTGTTAGTCACTACCCTGGATTCCAGAGCCTTCGACAGTAAATAATAAATTGAAACGTCGCGAAGGCTCTGGTTCAACGGGGAGATTCTTTGATTAAACCGTGCCAATCACAAAACAGAATTAGTGGTTTTAGTACAGATTCTGCACTAAAACCACTAATTCTGTTTTGTACTGATTGGCGCGGTTTAATCAAAGAATCTCCCCGTTGAACCAGAGCCTTCGCGACGTTTCAATTTATTAATTACTGTCGAAGGCTCTGGAATCCAGGGTAGTTAGTCACTTGTACTGTACGTAATAAAATAGAAGAGTCAGGTTTTTTTTATAGAATATTAGAATTTCTGTAAATATTTTTTGAATCCATCGAATATCAGAATTATAATCACATATATAAGTATACCAAGGGCGGATTTTCATATTTTTCTCTGGGGGGTGCAAAAAATTCAGGTGGGGTGGCGATAATCTTGTGCAGGGGCGGATCCAGGGTTTTTGATGACCGGTTTACTAGGTTCACCCAACTAATAGGGGGTTTCGGGGCCATGCCCCCCCGGAAAAGTTTTAAAATTTGGGGCTCTGAAACAGCATTTCCTGCGTTCTTGCGTCACTTTTAAAATTAATTTAATGATTAGAAAATGCATGTTTTTAAATGAATTTTTTACTAATACGCAGCTCAAACAATGAATTGAAGCTTTTCTGAAGCGTATTAGCTAGTGCCTAGTGATAAAAATATAGGATACGCTAATATTGCTGACACATCGATTTAGATCTACACGCTTTCAATCCAACTCTAACGACGAACTAAAAACCAAACTGCAAGAGCGTGAAAGCTTCCCAATCATTTCCTGATTCTCAATCGCCAAAGCAATGATCAGTGGGTCTAAATACGCTCGGTAGTCCATAATCAAATTTCAATAATAAATTAGACAACATCAATTTTATGAAACAGAATATTCTTTAAATTAGTTTTATACATGGAAGGTTATAGATTTTCTTTCTTTGGAAAATCTGTCAGGTTTATGTAAACTTGTCAAACCTGTCTGAATCCTTGTGAATCTGCGAACGCGTGGTGCCGATGAGCACGTGAACTTATTTTTTGTAAGTGTGTTTTACTTTTACGTTAATTTGCTGCAAAAAAGCGTATCGTAGAAACATGTTAATTTTAATATTTCTATCTTACTTAACGGTAGTTTAATTTAGTGCATTTAAATTTTGGCAGGGACGGGGGGTGCACATTTTTGTTTGGGGGTGCACAATTTATCTGGGGGTGGTGGATTTTTTTGGGGGGGGGAGGGGGGGTGCGCACTCCCCCCCCGCACCCCCCAGAAAATCCGTCCTTGTATATAACCCATTGTATATACACTCAATTTGATAATTTTAAGGTTTACGATTATTTCTTTTATCGTAAACCTTAAACATTGAGTCCTTTGAAGGCGCACCTCGCAAGGTATGATGGATTGATTATTTGGATCCTGATATTGGAGATTAGCTTTAATTAATGAGCCAAATAGCCCTACATCGAAAGTGTTCATTCGATATGTGATATGCCCTAGCATTGTTGCAAAGTAAATTTCCCTAGTTTAAGTGACTCTCATTTACCATTTCTCAATCGAGCAGACTCAGCAGAGGACTGGGTCTAGTTGATGTTTGGAGGGACGTTTGCGGTGACAACAAGTTATGAAGTTATAGCTAGTGAACGAGCTAAATATACATTAAAAGATGCCTTATTATAATTGTTGCGTTTCAGGTTGCACAAATAACTTTAGGAATGTACGAAAACTTCGCAGATGCCTTAATTCGGCATATTGTTTATTTTTCGTCCCTCCAAACAAGCGACTAGACCAAGTCCTCTGCTCGATTGGGAAATGGTAATTGAGAGTTCAATGTTCAATTGTTGAATTGCGCATTCAATGTTTAAAGTTTAAGATTTTTGAAGGGCAACCTATTTTGATTTGGCTGTTATATAAATTATTAATTTCTAACTAGCTAGCTTGGCTAGACTGCCACACATCTCCGCACTCTAGTGCAGCAGAACTATAGGAACTGCAATCGCCTGGCGTTCGCGTCCGTAGATGAAGACATTCTAGACGTCGTCGATACTATGCCAATCTGTCACAAATTTACTATTAAGTGAGGGAGTGCTTAAAAATCATCAAATGATAACACACTAGTTAAGGTGTTAACAATTAGCATAAAATGATACTGGGTTCACTGCCGGCGATTTATTCAGACCGAAACCAGGAGTTTTTTAGTTAATTAAGTCTGAATAAATGTATAATATTTAGCTTCGCAGTCACTCCTGAATAGGTCTAAATTAAATAAATGTATGAAGTTTACACTTTCATCTACAAAATACTTCAACATTAATGTTTCATTCGAGTAAGATGCCTTAAATAATTTGCATAAAATGACAATTAAGGTTAGTGTTAGGGTGTATAAATAAGATCATAATTCTCGTACCCAGAGGTTTTTGCTTCAGGTGTCCCAGGAATATGCCCCCCCCCTACAATTCCCCCCCCCCTCCCTCAGGGGGGCGAAATTTCTAGTAATATCGCCCTCTCGGGGGGCGAAATTCCAGGAGAATTGCCCCCCTTTAGGAAATTTGACACCCTTAAGAATACAAATTTACAATAACATGTATCGGAAGGGCTTACGTTACAGTAGATCAATAGGACCAGGGCCCTGATAGAACTAATGACGCTTCACAGCACACCATGCATAGTTACGTCTTCTGTATTTATAGGAGAATGCGGTCATTTAATGGTTACTTTGAAAAATACTGCCGATTTATCGCAGCTCCACTAGCGTTGTCAGTACTGACAACCAGTGCTTCTGCCATCCTCTGCATTTTAAACATCCTTGGAAATATGCTCATTGTTCTAGCTGTTGTGTTAGATCCAAACAAGAATCTTCGAACACCATTTAATTGGTTGATCGTAAACATGGCCGTGGCAGATTTAGTTGTGGGCATTCTGACTGACCCTTCCTCCGTGTTCATTCATATGAGAGAAAGTCTCGGAAAGAAAATTTCTAATCCCGAAATTATAATAACCCACATGAGTTTTTTCATCTCATGTACCGCCTCAGTTTTAAGCATTTCGAGTTTGGCAGTTGAAAGGTATCTCGCTGTACGAAAACCGAACACATATCGTACCAGAGTGACGAACAAACGAATCATTTTTACCGTCGCCGGGATTTGGTTGATCTCTTTGAGCTTACCAAATATTTATTTTCAAGTTGGATCTACACTATATGCCTTTATCTTCGTAAACGCATCGGTCTTCGTCGCCATTTCTATAACATGCTTAACGTACACTTTGATGTGGCGAAAAATCAAAGGACGTTCTCAGGAAATAACCCGTAACAACGGAGACGTGGCATCACCTTCTTCAACAGAATGCGAAACACCTCAAAGCATCTCAAGAGCTCGACAAAATCCCAATACGCCCAACTCAATCATCAGCAGTGCGCAGCAAACGGAAGCTAAAGTCACCCAGATGTTCCTTGTTGTCCTCATCGCCATGTTCTGTTGCTATGTTCCTGCGACAATATTAATTTACCTCATGAATTTCTGCGAATCGTGCGGTTGTCTCGCTCAACATTGGTTTCGTGACTTGCAGTCCATTTTCATCTTAACGAATTCAAGCCTCAACTTCTGCTGTTATGCATTGCAGTCCTCAAGGTTCCGGAGTGCATTCATCAAAATTTTGAAGATAAAGAAAGCAAACCGCCGTCAACATCGTGAGGTACCTGCCGAAAACGTGAATAGTCCTCAAGATGTAGACATCGATAATACTGCTGATCAAAACGAAGAAGTGCGACATCATGATATGGTTAAAATAGAGATGACAAGTAATGGATTAACAAACAAAGGACATGTTCCCTGTTAAAATGCTACGATACATTACAATTAGTCATGTTTTCGCTCGCTGCTCTGGCTTTTAATGAAATGAATGCAAAACTCTGTCGAACTGCATTCACGATCCAACGTTTCGACACTCCTACTCCAGTCCAGTGTACCAGAGGTAATCTGAACTCTGACGTCGAAACGTGGTCATATAGCTCGAGGGATGACGTATTGAAGAGGGACGGTTATATTAAGAAGCCATTTTTCTCCACTAAACTAGACTGTCGAAATGTTGGATCCTGAATACAATTCGGCTTAGCCCGATTGCGGTCTCATGACATCGTTTGCGACGATGTCATGGGACTGCACGAAAGCTAAATTCCACTGAGCTTTGCATTCATTTACTTGAACACCAGAGTAGGGAACGAAAACATGATTGATATTACATGCACACCTAGTTAATTTTCGTAAACTCACAAACTTTAAAATTCATTGCGAAACTCATTAATAATTCATAAAGAAAACACAAAGGAAATTAAGTTTAATTTTCTCATCAAGTCTCATTCATTTATTTTAAATTGTTGAAGAATACGAATGTTCTTATCGAGACGTTTCATAAGCTATATCAAGCATTCGCGTTCGTGTTGCATCAGACATACAACCTCTCGCTTTCAGCTCGAGTTTGGATCAGTCTGATATACAACACGGCCGCTCTGATCATGTTTTATCTATTGCTTACAATGTTTGTATAAAGTGGCTGTATATAATTAGCCGTTATTGGGTATAATGGTTCTAAGGTATACTGTCACATCTCTGGTATAAGTAATAATTTTAGCTCCAGTATGGACTACATATTTCAAAAGGTAGTAATAAGTCTTTAGAACTGATATATTAGACTTCTCGATCTACTTTTGCATTTCGTTACATTATGACTGATATTTGAGAACAGTCAGATAGTTCGCTTAACTTAGTAAACTCGTTTACCAACAGATAATTCATCTGACATTTCAGTTCATACATATAATTTAATATTATCACTTCAAAACAAAACCTTAACTAAGCAGTTTATACTGGATGGCTCTATCAGTTATTTTTGAACCGATCCTCTATGAAAGTAAAGCAAAGGTTACTCCATATTAGCTCATATTATTCAGTGTTACTGATACCACAATTGGAGGAAATAAGAATACTCTAATCTATATACTCGCAAGAAAATCTGCGGTACTTGGTAGAGTAATTAAAAGCACTCTTGCGACTGAGGCGTGTGAACGCAAATTATAATCACACGATTATAAAAATTGTACATTGCAGCAATTTTACCAAGTTTTAAGTAGACCACTATGCTGCAGACGAGCCGCAACCCTTTCTGAGTTTGATATCGTGTTTTTATATAACATATTTGGCAACCTTTTGATCCGTAAGCCTGCATCGCCATCAGTGCAAACTGGTTTAATGTAAAGATATAAATATAGATTCCGGTTAATACTTTTTAACCATGTCTAAGTCATAAATTTAATGGCCCATTCATGGTCGTGTTAATAGGGTCTCACTGTCCTGACTACCCAATAGAAGGACGTGTTGAACATACATGCTCACCTCTTTAATTAGGTCAGAAACATGTTATAACCGAACTTCGCTTATTGAATGTAATTCTATATATATTTAATTAATTCATCTTACAGTTTCACAAAAATGTTTGAAATTAATGGAGTTGTCGATGTAACTTATGAAGATTCAAAATTTTCATAAGCCATGCAGGTTTGGTTCAAAAACTTTATGACTGATTAATTACGTTTAATATTAAATTGTATTGTCTAATGAAAGTTCGGTTGGTCTAGTTGAAAAAAATGAGTTAAAGTGCAACAAGGCAAACGCGGATCCCTTCAATAGTACATATACTGGTCACAGACTGAGTTTCCTTACATGTACAGTAAATACACATTGACAGTTCTTAGCAGAATATTTCAATTTCCGACGTTGAAAAATAACTCTCACCGGCAAGCAGGTTCCATGCTTCTCCAGTGCCTTGGATGTAACCAGGGAGAAGTTGATATGCTGCTCCAAAATTGCAATATGACTTTTGATTGCGATTGGAATTGCCATGAATTAATATATCATTACAACCAAACCAAGGACCAAAACCACTAGCAGGGTACAAAGCGGCGTTTTCCTTACCTTTCTTGATGCTAGCGATAAACGGAGCAATGTTATCTTTGTTTCTCAAGGAAAATAGAAATGACGAATTGGAGTAAGTGTAGCCATTAATACCTGAAAGCAACAAAAACGAAGACAGGTCATATTTGTACGACGCCGGTCAAGTTGGTCATTAGAGAGATTAAGATACCCCGGTTTACGGGCACGGGTGATATACACGTACCCGTACCCGTAAATCGGGGAACGATTTGTAACTTAAGAAATCAAAAATAGTCTGTCGTGAGAAAACCAATGAGAGAATGATAACTTCCGCTGTTAAGGTTTGCCATAGATTGCTGAACACTTTGACGAACATGTGTGCATTATTATTTATTTGAGTGAAATGTTGAAGTTTTTGCTATTTAAACGGCCATAAAAAGTAAACAGAAAACACGCGTGACCGTGGGGAAACGGGTAGAAGTTACGGGTAAAAATGCTGACATCAGCAAAAATTGGTAAACAAAATGGCGATACTCGTACCCGTACCCGCAAACCGGAACCGGTGTATCTTAACCTCTCTATTCACATTTTTGTGCGCTTGCACAACGTTTACGTTTTGTAATATGAAACTGATCGATTGTGGTTGTGAATGATGTCCGCATTTCACAGAAATTTGGTTCAGTTGTGTATAAAATAGCTGTTATATTAAAATAGCTGGTTACAATAAAACATTGGAAACTATATTTTTGCTACAATTTACTAACACGCACTTACTGTACATCATTCAATAACGTTTTTTTTTAAAAATATTAATTTTTTTAACGAATTGTGAATTTCACGAAGGCGGTGCAATATTTGCTGTCCTGTAAGATCCAAAAATCTAGCCCTACAGCTAGATAATTAGTAAACAACATACATGCGGGCGCCCCAAAACAATGCCCCCCCCCCCCCCTATATTTTGTGGTATTACTATGTTTTAATAGAGAATAACGTATCATGTCATTCATTTTATACCGTATATTTGTTCTAGATGTGTCTATTATAAGCAACCATTTGTCTTCTAGGATCACGGAAGGTGGCAACACCTATATTTTTGGACTTGTCCAAGTTATGAAAAATATGTTTCAGATCAGCCGATCACAAAAATATCCAATTACTGAAGCCGATTATTTGACGGCCGATTCAACCACACAGCGCCAGAAGCGAGCCCTGGGTACAAGGTTCATGCCGATTATACCAACCATGTTGCTATTCACCAGTCGCGTATGACTGTTCGTTAAGTTAAATTTGTTTATCACATTTTTTTCTTTTCATGCGCGAATCAAATCGAAACGTATTCGAGTGACACAACATGATAGTCATTCCATCCGGCTTAAAGCCTGATCGATATCGAAACTTCTGTTAGAGTACTAGTAGTAATCACAACAAAATAAGTAGTAAGGGGCATTTTTTCGGGACACCATGCATACCTCCCCAATTTTGGTCAGTGTATCCACCAAAAATATAGTTATTGGCTTTCACCAAAACAACTGTTGGTCCTTTATTGTCACAATGTCTGTGGAAATCTTTGGCACTCCAGCCATCTCGAGAAGCTCGATAACAAAGTTGCCATTTACACTTCTCTCCCAACCATTTCTGTAGTTGTTTGATAAAAGCAATCTCTTCTTTTAAAATACTGGAGAATATTTGTAATTCATCTACACAGCCAGAAATCTCACAGGCCTGTCGCAAGCTGTTGATTTTACCTGCTTGCGGCAAGTTGTCAACAAGTCGCGACAGGTCTGTTGGTTTCGTCAGGCAGTAACAGGCTTGCGGGAACAGGTCTGTCGCAAGCTGTTGACAACAGAGCCGTAGCATAGAATATATATAATCGACCAGAAGTCTCACTGTACACCTTTCCTTAACATTTTCGTGTCCGCGATTTTCGCCTTGCGGATCACGAATTTCGCACGCTAGATGACGTGTGTGACACTTGCTGCGAACATTACGTCAGCGTTCGTCAGCAAAACGGTTAAAACAGCAATCTTTATTACCTGGTAATGGCAATTGATGGCGTAATTGCTCGCGTTTGATGGCGTGGATTACACTTGCTGGCTCGCGCCTGCGCATAAAAAATCTCGGACACAATTTTGGCTGAGTGAGGCTTCTGGTCTTATTTTCTATTCTGTGGCCGTAGCGACTTGTTGAAACAACCCGCTACAAACCTGTTACTAACAAGAGATAACAGGTCTGATAGAACAACTTGCAGCAAGTCTGTTGAAATCAACAGGTCTGTTCCAACTTGTTCCAACAGACCTGTCGCGAGTTGTTTTTGTCAAGTCTGCAGCAAGCTTGTTATCAGACCTGCGACAGACCTGTCCACAACAAACAATTTTTGTCCTGTCACAACAAGTTTCAACAAGCCTGTTGTTGGGAAACAAATCGAAAATGTGAGTAAAGACTGTGGTAAAGAGAAAAATCGCACGAAATGGACACGTCCGGCTTCACTTTCTCATTCAAGGCAATATTAAATCACATGCAGAGGAGATGAGACTATGTGCACACGGTAATGTAAACACTATCAATTTACAACAGAAGCTGTAGTTTATTTAATATATTGTAGATATATTTTCCTTTGGATCGTGTGAACAGGGTGTCAAAACGATTAAAGGAAAAAAAGGTTTTGAAAACGCTGGAAAACGACGCCCGTGTGAACATAACCTAAGTATCTACTCTGTGATTAAATGCAAAAGCTGCTGTTTTTAACTTTTTATATTTTTAAAAAATAATTCCGATTTCCAAAATCCAAATTCCAATTTGATGACGTGTGCTATCGTTATATTTCTTTAATCTGATTGGATAAAGGCGTGTGCACACGTCATCATTCCTCGTTACAATTGGACGAAATATTACAAACATATCAATCACGTAATCATGTTTAGTTGTTTTTGAATTTTGAGCCAAACAAAATTTCAACAACTGCCTCAAACAAAATCAAACAAGTTCAAAGCTGTTTTGATTTTTGAAGAAACTGTGGCAATGGGAATACAAGATCTAGAGCTTAAGAAATGAAAAATACATGAGCAACCGGGTGTTCACTGCAACGTTCTTCATTGTTCAAATGAATATGAAATTCGTTATATACAATGATTTCTTTCCAATTTCAAGTGAAATCAGCGAGCGAGGAAGACGCCTAATATTGAAGCTTTGTGTTATTGTATGTACTATTTTGAAGAAAAATATGCAAGTAGGTTGTCATATTTCGGTCGTACTTAAAGACCAATTAATTTTGAAAATTGTTTACGATAAGAACCTTTCTTGAATTTGTCGTATTTTTTCGGCTGTTTTGATCAAAAATTATCTCGCAAGTATGTTTATAAGTGTTCATATGAAAGTCTGGCTATTTCACGAAACACTACAACCCAAATATGGCAACCTGTTTAGCCGTTTTTGTTCAAAATAGTGAATACACAAGCTTCATAAGGTGCTTTCCTCGGTTTGCAACAGGTCTGTCGCAAGTTGTTGAAAACAGCATTGCTGCAGCTCTGTCAACAACTTGCGACAGGCCTGTTGAAAACAGCATTGCTGCAGCTCTGTCACAAAAGCTTCTAACAGACCTGTTGAAAACAGCATTGCTGCAGCTCTGTCACAACAGCTTCTAACAGACCTGTTGACAGGCCGTTGCGGACCTGTCAGAACAGACAGGTACAAGGCGAGCGAACGCATCCAGATATCGGCTTGTTGACAACAGGATTTAACAGATCTGTTGCAGATCTGTTCCGACTTGCGCGTTTCTGGCTGTGTAGTAAACAATAAATTGAAAGCATGGTCCATAATTTGTATATGTACCATTTGTACATGTACATGTGGTAGGCATGGCCAGATTTGGGGGGGAGGTGTGGGGAGGTGCGCACCTCTCCTGAGATTGTTTTGCACCACCCCTGAGAATTTTTGCACCTCCCCTGAAAAGTCATGCACCACCCCTTGGGAAAGTTTCAATGATAAATCAAAGTGAAAATTTGACCTTTTTTGGAAGGATTTTCCCGTCAGGGGCTCTTTGCCAATGTTTTATGTTTTTGAGGCACTTGCTTTTCCTTTCAATATCCATATAAATCCTTTACATAAATCATGTCTAATAAGCGCCGCTTCTCTAATAAGCACTCCGACGTGATTGTTTAGTCATGCTATAGGCTTTACTGTTTATTGAATTTTGCCTCAGGGGCCTCGTGGTCCTCTTTTCCATATTTGCCAGTTTTAACATTACAGGTGCGTAAGAAGGTTATATTGTCATCCTCATGTTTGGTGCTCAAATGTTTTTCTCTTTGGTCTTCGGACCAATCACTAACCTATCCATAACCTTATTGTGCACGAAACACGAAATAACCACATGAAAACCAGTGCAATAAAAAGTACAGCCTATTGGCAGAGAGTAGAGACATACAGAGACGTAACTGACCGTCGTTAACACTGCGGAAGATTACGTTTTATATAATAACTACAGTGAAACACGCAATTTGATTGGTTAATTAATAGCCGTGCAGGATCAGGCTATCCTGCACGAGGAATTAAAATGCCTTCGCGGAATTTTCGCGGGATTCACAAAATGTCATTGCTTCACTGTAGTTATTTTATAAAACAATTACCAAATGGTTTTCCAAGCAGGATAGCGTGATCCGTGCACTTGGGATGTTGCTCGACTTTCGGAAAGCGCCGAAAAAAACACTCGCCTGCGGCTCGAATATTTTTACGCTTTCCGAAAGTCTCGCGACATCCCTCGTGCATGGATCACGCAATCCTGCACGGAAAACCATTCGGTATTCCTTTAATCATGTACCCACTTTTTTTCAGGCGACCGGGCAAAAAATGATCAACTGCGCGTGCTCAGCAAGTTTAAAGTGACTCGTCATCAGGTCGTCATCCAATCAGATGCATGCATCTAGTAACTTGGGTACACTAGTTACGTCTCTGTATGTCTCTACTCTGTGCTATTGGGCTACCTGAATAGATAGGGGTGTTTGGGACATGTTTCCACAGAAAATCTCGAATTGTAGAAGCCGAGAATTACCAATTTTATATGTAGAACTACCCTGATTTCTACTTCTAGAACAAAACTGTCCAATTGTTTGTTGAGTATTTCCTAGAATGTGCTTAGTAAAATAAGCATGATTTTGAATTTCGTAAGAAAATACATGACTTTTACAGAAAGAAAATACATGAGAAATCCCATGAGAAACCCCTAACAAGAGGGTTGATTTTTCTCAAGTAAACACAAGGTGAAAGCCAGCCCTACTAGTAACCAGCACTGCATGAAGGACTCTTGTAAGCTCCTCTAGAAAGCAATTATATTTAGGTCTATACATGCACGTGCTGCAATTGTATTATTACTTTTCACATATTAGCTTATATTGTTTATTTAAAAAGTGACTTTTCCTGGGTGGGCAAAAATCAATTCGGGGGGGGGGGGAAAAAAGGAGGACTGGGGAGCATTTGCCCACCCAGCTTAAAAAAGGCCCTGGCATTTAAAGAAGCATTACTCCATTAATTAACAACACTTTTCCTTGACAAATAAAATGGCCTGGCAGACAGAACACCAAGTCAAGCCCTGAACTGCAAAATGGAGTACTAATATAATAAAAACTCCAAGTTGAGCATTGGTGATAATGTAATAACTTATAATCAGGTATAATAGAGGCTTGAAGTAAAGTTTGCTAACAATTTCTGTCTGGTGGATCCTACAGATTTTGCTACACTCAACTCTCATTTACTAATAAATTGTAAAATTGTTTGGTGATGCCATAGAGTAAATAGTAAAAAAGAATGCCTCGTGCAGTTTTTTAATCTTACTGACCAAGCTGATCAGTGTAACAGCCCAGCAAGTGAGATGAATTTTTCAAATTGTTTTTATATAACAATTTTTCCCTAAATGCCAAGGAAATTTGCTTGTTTCTAAGTGCGGCAGACAATCAGCAGGAATGTGATTATAA